TTTCTTCATTTATTTCAACAGAAATATTAACTCTGAAATAAACATTAATAACAATGATAGACACATGATTGACATGCATTACCAAATTAATTAATACCATTTTAAGTACTATTCTAAATCGTTATCTAATGCCCCGGGCGGTTAGCAAGATCCATTTATTTTACACGTTTGCAGGAACAATTAATTAATTTTATACGTTTTGCATGAACAATTAATTCTAGTAAATTACCAGTTTCTTGATGCTTGTCAACCATAACTTAATATTGGTGACTAGTTAGTGTATGAAAGCTATCCAACTAGTACAAACAATGCAATTAAATTAAAAAATTGTGTCATTTTTCTTATGAAAAAAATAGATCTTGTACATATGAAAATCTAATATTTTCCTCGAAGGACAAACAAGTACGGAGTAATTTATCTACGCCTTAAGAAATACGTAAGTTAGCTAATTTCTACTTCGTATGTATGTAGTGCCAAATATTCAAAAAGGAAAAAAAATGTATGTAGTGCAAAAAAACAGAAACCCTTAAAAAAAACGTTTAGACTTAAAAGCAGCCATGACATGAATACATGATGATAGAATTGCAAGTTGCACTAGCATATAAAAAGAAGGGAAATGATGAAGTTCATACTATTTCCAAATCAAAGTTGTGGAAATTCTCTGCTTCCTGCTTTACGCGTGAAGCACTTTGTCCCGGCCACCATTTCCACTTCTCCACCACCCCCCCATTCATCACCACAACGTATCTTACTACGAAGACGCTATGGTATGTTTTTCTCTCCTTCTATCCGTATTGTTTTTAGATATTATCCCGTTTTCAACCTTGTTTGAATGGTAATTATCTTACAGAAACAGTTATAAGGATGAACTTTTAGAGATGAAGGGAGTATGGATCCAAATATGTTGAGTGATATACATATGTATGGCTGAATTACAGATCAATTCGAGTCAAATAAGTTTGAATTTTTTGTCATATTTAGTCAACGGAATTACTATTACAATATAATGAAGCATATCAACCCAAGATTGCTAAAACGATAAGTTTAAATAATTACCAGGTGTATTTTTTTTAATAATATATTAGAAAGAAACATTTATTGATTGACTAAAAATTACGGGTATTATTGATTTTGTGTAATTAAGTAAAAGACTATGCTACTTTGTATTTACATAAAGATTTTTTTTTTTTGGACATTTTTGTGATAAGTTAACATGGTCTTACACTTGGTTACTTAATCAATATTTTTAGTGTTGAATAAATTACTAGTCCACTATACATAATCTTTTGATAAAATTTAATTCAATCAGCTAAAACTCTGCACAATCAACAGGTTGCAGTAAAAATAAATAAAAAATGGAGTAGTACCTCAATGGCTCACTGCACCTTGTACATCAAACAAAATCACATAAAATCGCGGTCTAACCAAGACATTAACTGACCAAATGTGTGCAGCATGGTGCTGTAACTGTGTTATTATGCTTATTATTTCATTTTGGTGTTAATTTTACAGGATATATCAACATTGCTAATGGAGACTTCTATACATGTTCTGTTTCTTTTGTGCTGCTACTTTAGTACCTTATGCATAGCAATAGACAGCATCACATCATCAATATTTCTGAAAGAACATGAATCTATAGTCTCAAAGAATGGTGATTTTAAGTTGGGCTTCTTCAGCCCCTCGAATAGCACTAACCGGTATATTGGGATTTGGTTTAACAAGGTACCTACAAATGATGTTTTTGGGTAGCAAACAGAAATAACCCGCTTAATGATTCTTCTGGTGTAATGAAAGTATCTGCAGATGGAAATCTGCAAGTCTTGAATGGGAGAAATGATGTCCTTTGGTCGTCGAATATGTCTGTCACTGCAGCAAATGCCTCTTTATCAGCACAACTTCTAGATACCGGGAATCTAGTTCTGTTTACTTCTGGTACCAATGGCACTATGGTCTGGCAAAGCTTTGATCACCCTACGGATTCTCTTATGCCGAATACAAAGTTGATTATTTCCAATTCTAATATGAAGCATGCTTTACAACCTTGGAAGAGCCCTTCTGACCCATCATTTGGGAGATTTTCTGTTGGGACCGACTCTTTCATTCATTCTCAAGTAATTATATGGGATGGTGATCGGCCACATTGGCGTAGTGGTCCTTGGAATGGGAATATATTTCTAGGATTGATGTATACTGATGAAGCTACCAACTATGCAAACACCTATATTCGTCAGAATGACAAAGATGGAACAATCGACTTTGTCTATACTGGTGCAAGTACTCTGGCCTATTCTCACTACGCTTTCAGCTATGATGGAACAATAAGCGAGAAATGGTGGGATGGAAAGAAGTGGCAGTATGTTTGGGGCGCCCCTGTAACAGAATGTGATTTGTATGGTAGTTGTGGAGCGTTTGGAAGTTGCAATCCTACAAGTTCTCCTGTTTGTAGGTGTTTGAAAGGGTTCAGGCCAAAGAATCCTGAGGAATGGAAGAAAGGAAACTGGACTAACGGATGTGTACGAAAGGTGTCATTGCAATGTGGAATTCAGGGTGGTAAAGATGATGGGTTTTACCGGTAAAGAATGTTAAAGTGCCAGACCATACAGAGTGGTCAGTGGGACTAAATCAGGTTAACTGCAGAAGCCAATGCTTACAAAATTGTTCTTGTTTTTAGCTTAGCTTATGCTTATGATGCTGGTGCTGGATGTATGTACTGGAGTAAAGACTTGATCGATATTCAAGAATTTTCAAGTGGCGGGTTAGATCTTTATCTTCGCCTACCACATTCAGAGCTAGGTAACCTTTTCCTTATTTATCTGTTCAATCAGACAGTACATAATTTCTTTCCCTTTGAAGTTGAAAAACTTGCCATGAAAATCTACACAACTCTATATTTCAGAGTTCACTAATGAAAAATATCAACTGTCTGCCTCACAGGTACCAGTAATAAGAAAATAGTTGTTATTATAGTGACAGTTATCTTAGGCACTATTGGAGTTGCAGCTTTGACATTATTCATCCGGTGGAAAATTATGACACAAAGAAAAGGTAGCTCCAGATCTTTATTATTACGGAGTGTTTTTTATTTTTTTTTTATTTTTTTTTTTTTTTTGAATGTTAATGTAGGTATTTGCCTTTGCATCAAATAAACTAAGATAGCTAGCCTGACATGTCCTGATTTATAGTTATAAGAGCACATTCTTTTCACATGATTATTTAAAACATTAATGTTATCTTGCTCCAAGTAATTTCCTTATTTTTTCTTGATAATTTGAATAATGGTTAAGAGACTTTGTTCTTTTTACCTTATTTTTTTAGTATAATCTGTATTGGTGGTAACTAGACAGTAGAAAATCAACTCTATTATTTGTGGAATTAATTACCATAACAAGATGTCACTTCTAATCTTAATTTACATTGGAAATAAAAGCTCAAAGGAAGAATGAACAGCTGGAGAATTTGAAGCATGATGAGAATGGACACCAAGTTCAACTCGAAGAGTTGCCATTGTTTGAATTCAAAAGGCTTGCAACTGCAACAAAAGACTTTCAAGATAGCAATAAACTTGGACAAGGTGGTTTTGGTCCAGTATATAAGGTATAACAATAGTTAATGTTGCAAGTACTTTATCATGATCACTGAAGTCAATAATGTATATTTTGTCTATGCTTGATTCCAGGGGACACTGGAAGACGGAGTACAAATAGCAGTGAAAAGACTTTCTGCTGCTTCAGGACAAGGCATAGAAGAGTTCATGAATGAAGTTGTGGTTATCTCTAAGCTGCAGCACAGGAACCTTGTTAAACTTCTAGGTTGCTGCATAGAAAATAAGGAAAAAATGCTTATTTATGAATATATGCCTAATAAGAGCTTGGATTTCTTTCTGTTTGGTAAGTACCATGCTGCTTTAATTTCACTTTCACGCGTCTTGCTTCATGTTTGGCATGTCTCTTGAAGTATTTAATATTTTATATCAATATTCAGATCCTGTCAAGCGAGAGCTTTTGAGCTGGGAGAAACGATTCACCATCATTGAAGGCATAAGTCGAGGCCTGGTTTATCTTCATAGAGATTCTAGACTAAGGATTATTCACAGGGATTTAAAAGCAAGCAATATATTGTTGGATGAGGATCTTATCCCTAAAATATCAGATTTCGGAATGGCACGTATCTTTGAAAATAAACAGGATCAAGATAACACTAGAAGGGTAGTTGGAACATAGTAAGCTCTCCAGTTCCCTTTTTCTTCCCTTTTATTTCAAACTTCAGAGCTGTTCTTCTTTTTCGAAGTTTAGAAACTTCTTAATGTGTTTGTGTTTCCAAAATGCAGTGGGTATATGTCTCCTGAGTATGCAATGGAAGGTCACTTCTCTGAAAAATCTGACGTTTACAGCTTTGGGGTGCTGTTACTGGAGATTATGACAGGAAAAAAGAATAATAACTTTTGGTTGGATGAACAATCACTGACTCTTCTAGGATATGTAAGTCTAGAAATTGAACCATATAAATTATGTGCTTCTAAGGTTATAGGACTACTAGATTTCTGACCTTATATTTTCTTGGTTTCTGATGATTTGTTTTCAATTATTCTTAGGTATGGAAATTATGGAATGAAGATGACCTTCAGCCTGTAATTGATCCATTAATAGCTGAACCAACCTTTTCGCCGGAGATCTTAAGGTGCATCCATGTAGGGTTATTATGCGTACAAGAATTTCCAGGAGACAGGCCTAGCACTTCTACACTACTATCAATGATAGTCAGTGACATAGTAGATCTTCCATGTCCTAAGCAACCCGGCTTTATTAGAAGGTTGGTTTCTTCTGACACCGATTCCTCTCAATTACATGGACCAAAGAGTTCATCTAGCAGCAATTATGTCTCAATTACACATTTGTCTGGTCGATAATCATCTGTAATATAAATGATTCTAAAGTTTTGGTAACATGACCACTATTCAGTTTCTAATAGAAAATTGAGATCATTTCTCCTTACAAATATATATCCAATGCAATCTTACAAATTTACAATATCTAGTATCCAATGCAGTCTTGCAAATTTACAATTTCTTGTCAAATCATACTCTCAAAATCCAATGTAGATTCGTGTACATATTCATAGCACCAAGGAGGAGAAGTTATGATTTTTATCTTCTTAAGATTTGTTGACAATAAGCTCTTTGGAGTCTTTTCTAGGATTTGCAGCCCCATTCCTTTTACATCTTGTGTCTTGCATTCCCAGCTCCTTTGGTATTCTCAAGGGATCTTCAAGCACCAAATGAGCTCGGAATATCAAAGTAGCATCAAAAGAGCTCGGAATGCTATCAGAAGTATCATTACAATGAATGTTCAAGAGAGTTTGGTGTATTACCAAACTAGCTATCTATTTTTATCGAGCAATCAGACCTGTAATAGACATATCATTTACGGAGGAACTCTGTTGCGATTGGTAAGATTCAGTACCAGTAGCTGCCAAACGTTTAATGAACCCAGGTTGTTTAGGGGATGGAAGGTCTTCAATGTCACTTGTAAGCATCGAGATAACAGTAGAGATATTAGGCCTATCATTCACATATTCTTGAACGCACAGCAGACCCACTTGTATGCACTTTTCAGTCTCCTTTCTGAAATTTGGATGAGAAACTACAGAGTCGACTGCTGGAGCGACATTACCCTCAATCCATAATTTCCATACCTGTATACAGCATATCAAGCAAATCTTAAGTGAGATTGTCTCAAAATTATTCACTGTGAAACACTAGGAGTTACCCCAATCTTACAATAGTTATTGTATGACTATCTCAAATCAGAAGTCATTGAAATTTCAAAAATCACGATACTATCAATTCCTCAGAGGATCAAGCATTTTCTGGAAAGCAGAATTTTTTTGTAGCAACAAGCCAAAAATTCAAGACTTACATAGCCTATGAGCGTTAAGATTGCTCTTCAAACCAGAAGGTACTGCTCCTTTTCCCTGTCACAATCTCTAGCAGTAGGACACCGAAACTGTAGACATCTGACTTTTCAGAGAAGTGCCCTTCCATCGCATACTCAGGTGACATATAACCGCTGCATTATACATGGTCAAAATTAAGGTGCAATATTACTATACAACACTATACTGTTATTTTGAAGTGAGCTACAATAAGACATTGATTAGTTCACCTTAGCCAAAGATAATAGTTGTCCAAGACCAATGTCAGAGATAAACATTATATAAGACTTACTATGTGCCAACTATCCTTCTGGTTTCTTCTTGATCTTGGCCATGACCAAAGATCCGAGCCATGCCAAAGTCAGAGATCTTTGGATTGAGCTCTTTGTCCAACAAAATGTTGCTTGGTTTAAGATCCCTATGAAATAATTCTTAACCTAGAATCCCTGTGAAGGTAAAGAAGGCCTCGACATATCCCTTCAATAATATTGAAGCGTTTACTCCAGTCCAGAAGTTGTCGCTTGGCAGGATCTAGTTATTGGTATGCAGGCTTAGTAACTACCTTGAAAATATAAGCTTCTAAGACAATCATATTATGAAAATCTATTTAAGTGAAGATATTGCATTCTCAGAAGATTGTTTAATGACGAAGTTTGGTGAAAACAAAAAAAGCGATACTTACTGAACAAAAATGCATCCAAACTTCCATTAGGCATGTATTCATAGATTAACATTTTTTCTTCTCCTTCTATACAAAATCCAAGCAGTCTGACAAGATTCACATGTTGAAGTCTGGAAATTACAACCACTTCATTCATGAACTCCTCCAGGCCTTGTCCGTAAACTGTGGAAAGTCTTTTTACAGCCATCTCTTGGCCATCTTTCAATATTCCCTGAGAAAAATAAACAGCATATCAACTCACGCTTGTTAGATCCCAATGCCCTGCTACTAGTGGCAACTGGAAAAAGTGATTAATTTACCTTGTAGACCTG